ACTTAATCAAATGAGCCTTCTTCTCTTCCCTTGGCTCTCACAAGAAATCCTTCATCACCTTTTCTAGCTTCTTGGCTTCCCTTGAGGGTATGTTGAATACAGAAAGAAAATAAATCGGAAGACTAGCAAGTGTCGCCCTAATCAAGGTCACTCTACCCCCTATTGAAATGTAACTTTTTTTCCAAGAAGCCAACCTCTTTTCAAACTTTTCCACAATTGGATACTAGAGCCGACTTTCTTTTGGATTAGCTCCTAACGGAAGACCCAAGTAGGTTAAAAGCCAATAAGACATGGAACACTCTAGAGAACTTGCTATAGCCTTTACCTCCCAAACTTCCAAATTGAATCCTAATGAAGGGTGATTTGGTGCGACCTAGAGAGAAGGGGACACGTGGACACAACCTGACTAAGGGATGACATCTCAGCCTAGCAAGCCTAGTTTGCAATGTTTGAGCTCGGGTCTTCGGTCACCTCGGCATAGTCACCTCGGCGTCGGGGCACCTCGGCATTCAATCCAGTTCGGAACTAAAGAGCCGAAGTATCAGCTTGGGGTTACCAACTCGAACCGCCACGTAACGACTTCGGAAGTTTCTCCAGTAGACTCTGAACCTCACGGGATCACGCCGCATAACGGCCGGCCTAATCTTCTCCCCGCACAGATCAAGCGGAATTGATAAATTATTAACTGATACGCTACTCCCCGATTAAAGCGGAAATGGATCCCCTCAGGACGAAGATCCCGGAACCGATCCGCGAAACCCGCGAGAGCTCAACTATATAAGAGCAACAACCCCTCCAGGGCCTAGGTATGCGTGATTTTTCTACTCTCTAGCTCTCTATCTCTCAAACTCTCAAACTCTCAAACTATTCAGCTCACACCACAGTACACTGACTTAAGCATTGGAGCGACCTCGCCGGGTTAGCCACCCCGGGTTCTTTGATCCGCTATCTTGCAGATTCTTCTAGCTTGCTGTTCGATTGGAAGCCAGATCACCTTCCATCTAGGAGTAGTTAGATCGCGCTACATCAATTGGCGCCGTCTGTGGGAACCGACCGAAAAGTCATCTCCTTTTTTATAGTCATCAACCTTACTCTTACGTCAATGGCATCTTCCAGTCACGCCGAGCAAAGCAGCGAGATGAACGTCTCCAGGGGACAACCCCAACTCCCTTCAGTGTGCATCGGCCAGTTCACCATCTCGCTTACTGCGACTGGAGTTCCAACGCTGACCGTGCCATTGAACACCACATAGGTGAACGCCCCACTTCCCCCAGTGGTAGGCGCAACCTTTTCTGAGCCCTCTATGGTTCCCCCCGGAGTCGGGTTGTCCCAGTTCAACGACTTGGTGCAGTGCGTCCGGGCTATCCAGATCCAGATGCAGCAGGTTCAGCAATTCCAACAGTACCGACAGTATTTCTTCTACCAGTAGTACCACCATCAGTTCCCTCCACTGCCGCAGAACTAGCAGCCGGTTCCACCTCGGCACCTAGGGGCCCAATGGAATTAGAACTGGCCTCGGGTTAACCAAGATATCATCCGATCTCCCGACCGAGGCGAAGAGACTTCCCAAGTCTTAGTTCCTCCCAGGAGTCAGGTCTCACCTCGTGGGAGGAGAGACGGTCAGATTACTCCACCTGCCTCACAAGGGAACCTCGGAAACAGGTCCGGGGATACTCAGCCTAACAGGGCAATCTTCCTCGGCGTTCACAGCAGGAAAACGACGGTTCGCTAGCAGGTATCCAATTCGGGGTTCGAGGTGCGAACTCAAGACAGGGACTCTCCGTCCGTGATAGCCAGCCCCAGAATCCCATAAGGAACTAGGAGTTGCCTCGCGACAGGGCGGTACCGGAGCACACCGAAATCAACAACACCAATGTTGAGCCAGTAAAGAGGCAACAACGGAGGCGTCGGAAGGTACGCTGTACCTCGGCTCAGAACAGCCAGCTAGCGAGGCCGAACCAACAAGAAGAGCAAGCCAAAGGTAAGGAAGAAGCGTGATCGGTAGCTACAAAGGCCGTTCCTCCCCTACTTTCCAGGTCGTCTCCCCTGTCTTTCGAGCTCTTAGCGACCCCGATGCCTCCCTTCGACAAGTATGACAGGTCCTTCGATCTTAACGACCATGCGGACTCTTTCCAGTCCTAGATGCACCTAGATGGGGCTGATGAGTCTTGCATGTGTGTGTCCTTCTCCACGACCTTCAAAGGGGTAGTTCGGACCTGGTATCGGAATCTCGCGCCGGGATCGATCAAAAGCTGGTCACAGTTCGCAGATTTGTTTACCTCGCACTACATCACCAGCAAGAAATGCCCGAGGTCGTAGGAAAGCCTTCTCAGCGTAGTTCAGAGAGAGGGAGAGTTGATTAGAAGCTACATTAAGCGCTTCAACGACACTTGCCTGCAGATCCCAGACCTAGACCCGGCGGTAAGACTCACGGCAGCTAAGAAAGGAATAACCCATAGGGAGTTTAAATGGCATGTAGTGGCCAATAAACCAAAGGACATCACCGAATTCCCCAAGCTAGCCGATCAGTTCATCGGTACCGAAGAGGAAATCAACCAGAAGACTGACAACCCGACAAAAAAAAGGAAAAGAGACAATGTCGACACAGGTAATGGCGGGCACAAAAGAAGAAAGAGCAAGTCCCCGAGCAGGGGAAGAAACAAATCTGGGAGCCGATCTCCTTCGCGAACTCGCAAGTTAGGTCGGCGCTCCAGGACCCCACCTGTTGAAAGAACAAACTACACACCGCTAAACGCTAAGTGAGGAGAAATCCTAATGGCCATTAAGGATTCCGCCTTCGTCAAATGGCCTCCCAGGTTGAGGGGAGATCTTGCAACAAGGAATCAGAATGTCTACTGTCATTTTCACAGAGACCACGGGCACAACACGGAAAACTGCAGGAGCCTCCGCGACGAGATCGAGGAGTTCATCTGCTGCAGATACTTGAAAAATTTTATACAGCGAGAAGAGAGAGGCCAAGCACATCGGCCAACAGACCGACAGGGGGACCAGAGAAGGAATGCCCCCGAGACTAGCAGGCAGAACGAGCAGCCACCAAAATAGTTACCCAAGGAAAGACTGATCCGCGAGGTAATCAACATGATTACTGGTGGGTCCATCATCGCGGGGTGTACATCGACAGCCAGACGGACCTCAGTCTGCGAGCTAGAAAATGAAGAGTAAAACCCGCCAAAGCGACCTTGACTTGAAGAACCAATATACTTCACGAAGGATGATATGCGTGGGATCCAGTATCCTCATGACGACGCTCTAGTGATAAAATTGAGGCTCAACGACTTCGAAGTCAAGCGCATCTTGGTGGACTCAGGTAGCTCGGCAGATATACTGTTCAAGGAAACTTTCGATAAGCTGCAGCTACAGCAAAGTGACCTAAAGCCGGCAGACACTCCCTTGGTAGGCTTCAGCGGCGAGGAGGTCAGACCTCTCGGACGAGTCACAGTGCCCGTAGAGGCCGGCACGTGGCTGAATATCGCGAGGTTCGGGCACGCGTTTCTGGTGGTCATGAATCCTCCCTATAACGCCATAATAGGTTGACCCATTACGCACGTCCTATGTGCGATAGTATCCACCTACTATTTGGCGATGAAGTTCCCAATGGACTATGGGGTAGGAGTTGTGCGAGGTGACCAACTCGAATCTCTTAAGTGCTACGTAGCTGCCCTCAAGGGGAAAGCAAAGCTAGCGGCTGATATCGAGCTTGAGCGACCAGTAGAATATGCCGACGAGCGAACTGCCCCAACAGAGGAGACGGTCCACGTTCCGGTCTCAACCGATGACCCGGCCAAGACTCTCTAGATCGGTGCTTCGGTCAACGAGCCCCTCCGCTCCCAGCTGGTAAGCTTCTTACTCAAAGACTTAGATATTTTTGCTTGGTCCGCGGCAGAAATGCCCAGGATAGACTCCAAAATTCTAACTCATAAATTGAATACCGACCTCTTAATCAGGCCAGTTAGACAAAAGAAGTGCAACCTCGCCCCAGAAAGCTGGAGGGTAGTCGATGAAGAGGTTGGGAAGCTCCTAGTGGCAGACTTCATCAGGGAAGCCCATTACCCGAGCTGGGTAGTTAACCCAGTTCTGGTAAAAAAGGCCAACGGCAAGTGGCGCATGTACGTCAACTACATCGACCTGTATAGAGCCTGCCCAAAAGACTGCTTCCCGCTGCCCAAGATCGACCACCTAGTGGACGCGACTTCAGGGCATGAGTTGCTGAGCTTCCTGGACGCCTATTCCGGTTACAACTAGATTAGGATGGACCTTGCCGACGAAGAAAAAACTGCCTTTATAACTGAGCTCGGGTTGTATTGCTACAAGGTCATGCCCTTCGAACTAAAAAATGCTGGGGCAACCTTTCAATGCCTTGTAAATAAAATTTTTGAGCCGTTAATTGGCAATAAAATCGAATGTTACGTTGATGACAAGGTCGTGAAGACCCAATTTTCAAATTTTTTGTTGGATGATAATGTAGATGTAAAATCATCTTATAAACCACTTCTCAGTGGTCAACTGCAAGTTGATGATTTTGGAATAGCTTATGGGAGGTTGAAATGTGTATGGGTTAAGATAATGGACAATGACCTAATGGCTCACAATTTGATTGAGGAGGTGGTCCTTGATTGAGTGGAATTGTGCAGTCAACCCCATATAGTTGGTAAAAAGGCTTTATTGATTGTTGTTGTGTGATGAATGATATTAAGTGCTCTTATTTTTTCATGAATATAATGATTGTATAAAGTATTTTATTATTTAGATTATATTGGATGACCAGACTCTTGCTATTTTCATGAATTCTGTATATTGCCTGGATTATTGAGAAATGCTACCATATATTCCTTCTGTCCCCTCTTCCCAGCTGAGTGGCTGATAGTATTTTTCTCAATGATTGTAATGTTGTGTTATATTTTTGCCATCTTTGTTGCCTTTTGCCTTGCTATCTGAATTTCTACGATTGATATCTTTCTATCCTCTGACTTATTTTTTAGATTGCTCATTTGGGGAAGTTATACAGTAGAGCTAGTGAATTGCCAGTCTATGTAGAAGAAAGTACAAAGTTAGCAGGAGAGATCTCTTCAGCTAAGGTATATGCCCCTTTTTGTTTAGTCAATTGGAAACCCAGTCCAATAACAGTCTTCAAGGAGATCCCTCTCCTATTCCTTTGCAAAATTTGTACCATATTTCTTTAAAGCGAGAACAGTTTATATGGTGCTATGCTTGCCATTCATGTGATTCTCTGTTTCATTAAGGTTTTAGTTTCCCATTTTATTTTCTCCAGTGTGGTAATGAATTTGCTTCTGTTTTCCTTTATCCTTTTTTTTTGTCTTGTTTTAGTTTCTGACTGTTATTAAACAATTTTACAGTGTTAATGATCAATCAACCTACTAATCTTTGTTACAAAAAAAATCTGTTGGTTTTCCCTTCCTTTTTACCCTTATGCTGTCAGTTTGAAACATAGAAAAAGGAGTTATTTAGTATACTTGTGTGGACAACAAAAAATTTTATTAACACATTAAAAAAGAGTATACTAGAGGTATACAAAGATGGTCTGATGCCACAGGAGCAACAAAAATTCACTTCCAAATATGCTATCCTCTGCAGAAAAAACCAGAAAATTTGGTCTTAGAATGGTGTCCAATGTATTCTCTTAATATGATAACAAAATTACATAAATACCCTCAAATCATTATGCAGCATGTATATGATCCATAATAAGGACTGAAGTATTACTTCCAATAGAAATTACTTGAAAACTCAGCTTGGGTAGTTCATTATTCATTTTTTTTTTTAAATAAAAACCAAAATGAATCTGGAATATGGGATGGAAATCTCTCCCCAATGGGCATAATGGTCCATTCAAAGAGAGGCCTTGTTATGGTTGGTTACTTCTCATCTTCTTTTATTTGAAATGAAACCTTTTTTGTGTATAACTGGTAGCTTTCTGATGGACGAGCTAAAATTTTAGATGTCTTCTTAAAGCAGCACAAAAGAGATGCATCCGTGCCTTCTCAATTTGTTTGTTTAATTGTGTCCTTGTATGGAGCAGTCATAATTTAACAATTGATACTGGCACTGAACAGAGCAGAATGTTGAAATGGGATTTATGTAGCCAACCCCATACAGTTAGGACAAGGCTTAGATGATGATGACTTGTGAAATTATGGAACCTTCTTATCATTGAATGTCAATGATTACTTGTTCTTGGTGTGGTGGAAACAAATGCTGTATTTAGGGGTGCACTTTCATTAATATAATTATTACATAATTGTTTCTCCCTCATCTTTCCATACCTTGTTCTTTTTTCTTTTTTCTTTTCTTTTGTTTTTTTTTTTGCACTTTAACTTGATATTTTGAGCTATGTTCTTTCTTCTTTTGTATCTTACACTGCTGTTTCTATTGATGTGAATCCATTATTGCAATCTCTAGGTTTGGAGTGAAAGTGTAAGGCAATGCATCACAGAGAAAAGGTCTGCTGCAGTTGACATTGATGTCCTTTACAAGTTAAAGTCAGAGGTGTATAGCTTTTTTTTTTTTTGAAGTTCTGTTTGGCAAACATATTTATGGTGGATGCTCCTGTTTGATCTGATTAAAATGAACATTTTATGTTCAATAGATGTTGGAGCTTCGTGTTGAATTGCCAGAAACAGAATTGCTCCTGGATCTATTGAGGAACATGGAATCTTGGCAAATTCGTTGCAGTGAGATCTTGAAGGGTCCTATCAGCTTGAAGGTTGGGCCTCTGGAAGCTGCTACAATTTATTTATTTTTTGATAAATGACTAAATTTTATTAATGTTACAGTTCAGATCTGTTCTGGTTTCAGCCCTAGAATAACAGAGAAAATGAGCAGAGAAGAAAGAGAGACGAAAGAAAGAAGAGAAGAGAAGAGAAGTAGGAGGGAAAGACTGGTTTGAACTAGAGAGGAAAGTTCTCCCTCTAGTCGACCAGATATTATTTATATGTTTCTAATTAAAATTACAAAGACAGTTATGCCCCTAATTAAGTATGGGACATAACTCTTAAACTAGAATATAGAAGACAAAACACCATACTCTTAATATAAAACAAAATGACCAAACTACCCCTTATAGCCAACTCCGACTCCATCTCAAGCTGGTGAGTATATGTCATATAGTCCCAACTTGTTACATATGTAATCCACTCTTCCCCGATTCAACCCTTTAGTGAACAAGTTTTCCCATTGACTTCCTGTGTTTACATATGCAGTACTTATCACTCCATTGAGCACATTCTCTCTCACAAAGTGACAATCAACTTCTATATGTTTTGTTCTCTCATGGAAAAATGGATTAGAAGAAATGTGGACTGTAGCTTGATTGTGACAATACAACATCATAGGGCTATTAACCGAGTCTTGTAAGAGATTCTTCAAGCATACTAATTCACATGTAGTATGTGCCGTGGCTCTATATTCAGCTTCAACACTGCTTCTCGTTACCACAATCTATTTCTTTTTCTTCCATGTCACCAAATTGCCCCCAAGAAAGGTACAAATACCCTGTACTAGACCTCTTGTTTGATATTGGACTAGCCCAATCAGCACCTGTGTAGCCCTCTATCTCAAGACTTCCTCCACTCTTGTATCACAAGCCACGACCTGGATTCCTTCAAGTACCCTAGAATTCTTAGAACTGCATTTCAATGTGGAACTCGAGGATTCTGCATAAATTGACTTGCCACACTAACTACAAATGATATGTTTGGCCGAGTAATGGTTAGATAGTTCAACTCACCTACCAACCTCCAGTACCTTCCAGAATCTTCAAACTCCTCACTTGCATTGCTACTCAACTTGACATCTGGTTCCATGGGTGTTTCAACTGGTTTGGCACCTAACAATCCTGTTTCCTCTAACAGGTCAAGAATATACTTCCTTTGGTATAGATTAATACCATGCTTAGATCTTTCTACCTCTATGCTCTATCCCCAAGAAATATTTTAATTTACCAAGATCTTTTGTTTCGAAGTGATCATGCAGAAAGGTCTTCAGTTTGTCAATCCCCAACCTGTCACTGCTAATAATATCAATGTCATCTACTTATACCACAAACAAAAGCTTCCCAACACCCGAATCATAGCTAAATACTGATGATCAACTTGGCACTGTCTCTTGCCAAATTCTTTCACCACACTTCACTGAATGTACGAAACCATGCATGTGGAGACTGTTTAAGTCCATAAATGGCATTCTTGAGTCTGCATACCTTACCATCCTGCCCTTGAGTAACAAACCTTGGTGGTTGCTCTATATCAATGTTTTAAAAGGCGTGGGAGGCATATGCCTGGAGGCACGTCTCCAGGCGAGGTGCTCCCAAATCGCCCTGAGGCGTATGCCAGAGGTGTTGACACCTTTGAGGCATACGTCTTAGGTGCAAGCGCTTTTTTCATGAGGCATGCTAGAGGCGTACGCCTCATGCGCCTCATGCACATCTGATATAAAAAGACCGAAAAAGAAAGAAAAAGAAAAAAAAAGGAAAGGAAAGGAAAGGAAAAGAAAAGGAAGGGAAAGAAAAAGAAAGAGAAGAAAAAAAAGAGAAATGGAAAGGAAAGGGAAGGGAAGAAAAGGGGAAAGAAAGTGGTTTGCCACTTGCCCCTCGCTTCACTCGCTCGCCTCCGCTTCGACAAGACCCCCCCTTTGAACTAATGTTATGCATCTTTATTCTTCTTAAGATAAAAGATTTTTATTAAAAATAAAGAAATATTGAGATCCCCCCTTCCTCTTTATCCTCCTCCTAACCCCCCTCCTCTTAAGGAGGCTTACGCCTCTTGCGTTCTGAACTACGCCTCACGCCTCTAGGTAGTGGAGTGCCTTGCGTCACGCCTCTACGTTTGAAAACATTGCTCTATATAGACCTCAAAGAAGGTCACCATGTAAAAAGGAATTCTTGATGTCAAGCTGGAACAAAGGCCAATCATACATAGTAGATAGGGATATCAAAACACAGATTGAGCCAATCTTAGCAACAGGAGAGAAGGTCTTTGTGTAGTCAATGCTATATAGCTAAGTAACCTTTTGTAACAAATCAAGCCTTCAACTGCTCTACACTACCATCTGGTAAATAGTTGACAATGTATACCCACTTACAATCTACACACGCTTGATGGGGGGAAGAGTGGTGAGATCCCACGTATGATTATGAGCTAGAGCTAAGAGTTCTTCTTTTATTGCTTGGTGCTACCTTGGAGAGGTAAGAGCTTCCTAGACATCCTTAGGAATAGGAATAGAAGATAGTAGAGAAATAAACTGTTGATGGGAGGCAGAAAGGTAAGATACGAAAACATAATTGGAAATGGGATGAAGATTGCAATTGTGTTTACCCTTTCGCAAGACAATGGGAAGGCCAAGGTTAGAGAGAGGGGGTCAAGCTGGTGTGATAACAATTGTCTAATTTGTTGACGATGAAGAAATGGAGGAGCCGGTACATGTCGATGCATATACACTTGCCTAATGGGTGGTCGTTCAACAAGAAGTTGCATTGGAGGCGAAGACTTGGTCAGAATTGGAACAAGAGGAATGGGGTCCTCAATAGAAACTAGAAGTGGAGGTGGAGAGACATCTGATTCATAGAAAAACAGAATAGATTAAAGAACGTGATGAGGCAAGAAAAAAAAGAAAAAAAAAAGAAATGTATGTATTATGTTTTGCATGTTTTTCTTGTAGTAGGATCCCAAATTGTTGTTTTTGGGTAGCTTTGTTGACAGTTTGGAATAGTTGGGTGCATTTCTGTTGGGTTTTGGTTTCTTGGGTCTTTTTGTAACAAAAGTAATCTTTTAGAGGTTCATTTGAAGTTAGTTTTGTTCTTAAGGAGTTGTTGGTGAGAGGCAAACATTCTAGGGGCTTATGTGTAAATATTTTAACTAGCTTGTCCAGCATGCCAGTGAGTTTTATAAAAGAGAAGGGGGCTGTTTTTGTAGGGGTATTTTTGGTTCTTTCTCTCTTGTTTGAGCTGTAGCTCAGCCCCAGCTAGGGTTTTCAAGTATTGGGAGCTTGGGTTTTGAGGAGTTGACCCATTTTGGCACCTTCCAATCCCTCCATCGCTGCATGTCCGCGTGGGAGGCCAGCTTGCTGCCATTGTTACTGTAGCGGAACTGTTCTAGGAGGAGTTTTACTTCAGGTTCAGGTCTGAAATCCCTAAAAATCCATGATATTTTGTTGTTTTCAGTTTGGTATTTCTTGTGTTTATTGCTGTATACTTGAGGTACTACATGTAATTTGTCTTTTTGTCCACATCAAGTGGTATCAGAGCAAGTTCTTTCCTTGGGTTTGCTTCAAAGTTCATCTCCTTCTTGTGTTTTCTATATTATCATGGCTGCAAGGGGTGGACGTGGTAGGGGTGGTAGAAGACCACAACATGTCACTGTAGAGGTTCCAAGAGGCTATAAGAGGACTGCAAGAACATATTGAACATCTTGCTCAACTTCTAGCTCAAAATGCTGCTAGGGATGGTGACGTAGCAAATGATTTGGGGCTAGGAAGAAGAAGACAAGCTCATAGAGTTGATGATCAACTCATTGACATTATTAATGAAGAATCAAGTGAAGACATTGAGCAACCTGAAGGTGATCAGCATGGAAGGAATAACAACCAGTGGTGGGAAGACTGAAAACTGCAATCTCTACAATCCAATCGAGGTCATGGTGTTCAACTTCATATTTCCGAGTTTGATGGTGAGTTGGAACCTGAAGAGCTTCTAGACTGGTTGGACAGTATTGAAAATTATTTTGATTGGAAAGAAATGAATGAAGACAGAAAAGTGAAGCTTGTAATAGCCAAGATGCGTGGGACAGCCTTAGATTGGTGGAAAAATTACCAAAGGGACAGAGAAAGGAAAGGGAAAAAAAAGGTTATTTCCTGGGGAAGAATGAAAGAGAAGCTGAAATCCCAATTCTTACCACCAGACTATGAGCAAACTGTTTACCAAAGGGTGCAGAATTTAAGGCAACGGGAAAAGAGTGTGAAGGAGTACTCAAAAGAGTTTAATAGATTAACTCTTTGGAGTAATATGTCAGAAACTGAACAGCAAAAAGTTAGTAGATATATCAATGGTTTGAAGTTGCCAATACAAGATCAAGTCAGCCTACATTGCCCGTATAAGATAAAGGATGCATATCAGCTAGCTCTAAAGGTTGAAGCTCAATTGAGTCAGAGGTCAGGGCAGAGGCTGAGTGCTGTCCAAGGTACATCTCTATCAGTGGGTCAAAGTGTTGGGGCTGATAGGGGTCGTGTGATCAACCAAACACGCCCTACAGTCCAAGAGATTCAAATGTAACAAAGAGCAATTAAGGGCAGCAGCCTACTATTAGATGTTTTAGGTGTATGGAGTTGGGACATTGTTCAAATGAATGTCCTAAGAGAAGGATTGAAGGGCAAACACATATGGTTAATGAAGGCACTGATGAACAACATGATGATATAGGCCATTGTTGAGGATGGGCAAGTGGCTGAAACTACTGAAGCTAATGCTTTAGAGGAAGAAAACTTGGATGGGGATATTGTGGGTGAAGCTCTAGTGATATGACACTCTATGGTTGCACCTCAAGAACCACTACCAGGGGATTGGTTGAGAAAGAATATCTTTAGAACACGTACAACTGGCGGGAAGTTGTGTAACCTGATTATTTATAGTGGGAGCAGTGAGAATGTTGTTTCTCAAGAGATGGTGGATAAATTACAGCTCAAGACTATTCAACACCCCCGACCATATCGTAT